AAAGACACGCCAGATGAAGCCATTGTATGGCGAAACACGTGTTGCGTTTTTGTAAAACAATCTAGTGAAAATCTCACAAAAAAGTGTTTTAGAATACGATAGTTATGGATTTTCATCAAGTATCGGCCGATTCCATCATATACCAATATAACAACTTTAAAATTCCCAATGAAATGCGTTCAATAGCACTTGAACTAGTGAAATTTCATTTTGTAAGTTGCTCAACTGATAGTAAAATTTCAGACGTTGCCGAATCGAAAATACTCGAAAACTGTCAGTCTTTCTTTTCTTTTTAGAACTGATCATTTCTATTGATAAGACCTGCGTATATTCAATATGCTTATAGCATTGTCGAAAAACTCTCAACAAAGTTGAGACTTTTTTTCACTGAATAAATTAATAGTAAGTAAGGTGTAAGGTTAATAGCAACAAAACAAAAAAAATTGAAAGTTCAAAATAGTGCACATTTTCGCAACGCCGTAACTTGTCATCTTGTGACGTCATTCTGTTCTAAAGGTGAATATCCTTATACAGAGCATATAATTTGACGGATTCATCAAATGATAAGAAACCAAGCAACGTTGTTAAGTATCAGACTTTTACATCAAAAGGAGCGGACCGAAATACATAGAAACCCCAAATATCAGAACTCTGAGGAATGACGACTTTATATTCAGGAAGTTAAAGATGTCGAAGATCTAGAGATCTGTTGTTGAAAGACGCGAACTGAAACCTTAGGCTTCAGCGTGAATTGGGCAAGGAGTGTTTCGAAGACGTAGGAAAGATTGACGCCACATACATGATGATTCGCTTATGGTGACTTTTCGGCTGATACTGGTTCTTGAGGGGGACGGCCGTGTGGTTGCAAGTTTTTTGTTAGTTCGTTTTGTGAACATAGAGGGCTAGCGTAACCTTCTGATACTGGATTTTGCCTGATGGACAAATGGACTCCAGCTGACGGGCGAGACAGTACGGACGAATGGAAAATATAAGGGTTCTATGAGACTAAAATCTGAGTATACAAACTACAAGGAGAAGTTGCATGAGCATTCTTCTACCTCTGTCATACTTATTTCTTCTTCCCATATAGCCATCCCTAACCAGGGGAGGTAGGACACTCTGACATCTCCATACATGATAGAAAGATTTGCTGAATTGATATTTCGATACAGGTATGTTCGTTCCTTGGGGAAGATTGAGTTAGCCGGAGAGTCTTCTACACTAACAGGTTTGACAACACCCGCAGGGACGTAGCAAATTGAAAAAGCATATTTCTACCACTGGGGAAAATAGTAACTTCGCTACATACCCTCCCCACTTCGGGAAAAAAATGTGTTAACTAACATTTTTGTTAAGTAAATTTACGTGGCCTAGACAAAGGAAAAAAATATCTTCCGAGAAAAAACGAACACCGCTCAGGTGCCTACCCCTTTCAATGGTCGAACCCTTTATTTAAGGAGTAAGTACGCCTGTTACACTTTTAACGGAACAAATAATGAAAAGAAAACCACAACTGTTATATACTACACCCAGATACTAAGAATAAAACAAAATCTACATTTTTCTTGCGGTGTTGATAACGGCGCCATCCTATCGTCGGTGGTGATTGTGATGGAATGGACGTTGACAGCCACAATCGGGACATGCTACGTGCCGCCTCGGGTAGGGATACTGACATCGTGCACAAGGGGCGCTGTTCCTGGTTGTACCCAAAGGTAAACGTGTGGTGGGATGTAGTAATGGGTTGTCGCACAAACAGTTTCGGGACAGGACGTCCTGCAACCCACAGCGGGAACAGAAGAGTACCGGAACTCTTCGTGTACAATCACTCCGGTTGTGCCCTGGTAGGCCACATCGCCAACATCATTCCTTGTCTACCGGTAGGTAGAACGGCCACGGCTTGGGTGGCGCAAGTTGGTCCTCCCTCGCAGCTTGTTGTAAATGTTCGGCCGTCCGGATGGAGGGGGCTGATTGACCCAGAGTCGGATCGTATGGGACACGAGGTTACAATATCGTATGATCGGTCTTCCGACTGTTCTACCGTGAGCTCCGGCGTCTTCGGGAACGGAATTTTCGGGGATATAGCGGCTATCAGACTCTTGCATCGCACCTAAAAGGGCGGCTGCGAGTGCATCGGTGGCTGCCTCTAGGGGATCAATGGATAAGTCCAGGGTATCCATAGTTACTGGAACAGAATTATTCACCAAACTATCAATCTAAAACAGTATAAAAATAAAATAAAGTTCACCGAGTCTTGTCTAACCGGACACGGGCTTGAGTGGGGCACCTCAATACCTGAGTGGACGCCATACTCGTTGAGAGGATCCATCCAATCCTGCTGACCGTTTGTGATATCGGCCTGTTGGACGGTCGGAGGGCGCTTAGAGCTTCTCTTACTTCCGGGCGCAACATCTGGTTCGGAGGTGTCTTCCGGATCGCTTCTAGTAGGGCGCCGATGGTGATAACCACTGGTCGTCTCGGTTCACCAGTGGTTATTACGGTGGGTTTCAGGGCCGACCGGGAATGGGGAATATCTTTTATTCGTAAGGGCGGATAAGTTTCTGGCGGGGTATCAGGAGGGGGAGGCGGTATCTGGTTAATCGGAAGATTAAGGACAGTAATTGAGGACAGGGTACTGGTACTTTTTTTCGAGTAGAAGAAACTGACCTTGTGGGGGGTATTGGTTCATTTTCGTTGCTCTGAGGGGAGATGGCGGAAGGGGTATCTCACCGACGAGGATTGACAAGGAAGGGCTGATGAGAGATATGGGGCGGGGGGCTTGTAGAGCCACTGGAGCGGGCCTGGTAGGTACAAGGCCAGGTTCTCTCTACAAAGAATGGAAAGTCAGCGTTATACCATCGGACGAGTGAGCTGGACGTAGGTCTTTGATATGAACTCGCAAGAGCTGTTTGCCGGTCAGGCTTTTGAGGTTATACACCACCGGTGAGAGAACATGTGTTACGGTATACGGACCGGAATATATCGGGGCAAGTTTCGCGGCGTAACCTTTCTCGGCGGATGACGCGTTTCATAACCGAATCTCCGATATGGCATCGCCATTCTCTGCGTCTGAGGTTGTAGTGATGACTGTGTGTGGTGAAGGCCTTGGCGAGGTTTATACGAACTGGCTTGAAGGTCTCCTGCAGACGTAGCATTCGATTGGTGTACTGGGTGGTATCCACTGGTTGAATATCGCCTTGTTCTGGTGGCGGAAGCGTACGGTAGACGGCTTTTGGTACTTCTAATTCTCGTCCAAAATTCAGGAAGGCGGGTGAGTATCCTGTAGAGTCCTGACGGGCGGTGTTGATAGCAAATAGAAGGTCTGGTAGATATAGATCTCATTTACGGTGGTCCTGTTCACAGAACTGTGATATCATTGTCTTCAAGGTTTTCGTTGGTCCTTTCGACGGGGTTAGCTTGCAGGGTATACTGCGGAGTGCGACGGTGAGTGATACCTAGTTCTTTCAGCATGTCATTGAATAGACGGCCAGTAAATTGGGTTCCGTTATCGCTTATTACTGTCTTTGGACATCCAAAACAAGTAACAAAATCTCCATATAGCAACTGCGCAACGGCTTTGGCGGTGGCTTCGCGGATCGGTCGACATTGTACCCACTTCGTGAATTGGTCTTGAAATACCAACAGGAACGTGTTTCCCTTCAAAGATCGCATTGAAGGGCCCACTAGATCGGTACTGACACACTTCCAGGGGCCGAATTGAAAGACGGCTGCATCTTACCGGCGAGTTTCATCTGTGATGACTTGAATCGTTGACAGGAATCACAGCTGCGGACATATGATATCATTGTCTTTAAGGTTTTCGTTGGTCCTTTCGACGGGGTTAGCTTGCAGGGTATACTGCGGAGTGCGACGGTGAGTGATACCTAGTTCTTTCAGCATGTTATTGAACAGACGGCCAGTAAATTGGGTTCCGTTATCGCTTATCACTGTCTTTGGACATCCAAAACAAGTAACAAAATCTCCATATAGAAACTGCGCAACGGCTTTGGCGGTGGCTTTGCGGATCGGTCAACATTGTACCCACTTCGTGAATTGGTCTTGAAATACCAACAGGAACGTGTTTCCCTTCAAAGATCGCATTGAAGGGCCCACTAGATCGGTAATGACACACTTCCAGGGGCCGAATTGAGAGACGGCTGCATCTTACCGGCGAGTTTCATCTGTGATGACTTGAATCGTTGACAGGAATCACAGCTGCGGACATACTTGGCGATAACTCGGAACATTCCGGGCTAATAGTAGCGAGTTTCAATTCTTGCAATCGTTTTGGCTATACCCATGTGCCCGGCGGTTGAGGCGTCATGCATCTCCCTGAGCACGTCGAGTCTCCGCATCTTCGGGACATGAAGTTTCAATGGATCGGCTAATTTTGGCTCCG